GTTGAGAGTTACTATAAATAAATAAAAAAGAGTTATAGAGCAAGGAAACGGTTGACAGAAGACTTGAAGAGTTGAGGGTTGTATGAGTCAGGAAAACATGAAGATGGGAGAGAGTTCTAAAGGATTAAAGTGCAGGGGAAAAAGCTAGACAAATAAAAGTTTTTGAAGCATGCAGGGAAAGATACAGTATAAGAATGAGACTTTGATAAATGACGAGTCAAGCGAGAATCAGTTTTAGTTGATGGAACTAGAGATAAAAGCTTCTTTGAGCAGTGGCCATGATAGTATTTGTAGAAAGGAGAAAGAGATGCAACTTTGCGACGATGGGAAAGAGGCTCAACCTTATCAGATAGACCGAGTCCAACCTTGTCTAGAAGAGACCTTGTCTAGAAGAGTAAGAGCATCATTAGAAAAACCAGCCCAAATATAGCAACAGTTTTCCATATAGAGACGAATAAGAGGTTTGTAAAGGTAGAGAATGGAATTAGAAAAGAGAAAATGGCAAGCACAATAAAAAGAAGCAACCTTAACAGATGTTAATTTAACAATCGATTGTATATATGGTTTCCATGAAAGGTCAATAGTAAATGATAATCCAAAAAGACATAAAGAAGAGGTTGCCATTCATCTATATAGGAATTTTGACAGTATTGTGATAGTTGTACGAGTAAATAACTGAGTTTTGTCTGAGTTGAAGTCATTGTGAGCCCCAATCTGTTACCGAAGTGAGATCAAATTCAAGATCGGCTGCCTATTCTAAGCAATCAAAAAGAGAAAACTTTTTGTCAAGACAAGTGTATAAAGTTGAGTCGTCAGCAAAAAGAGCTACTTAAAGTGTAAGGTTGTCAGGAAGATCATTAATGTAGATAAACAAAACAGGATAGAACTTTAAGGTACCCCAGAAGATACTGGAAATAAAGAAGAGTGTTTGCCTTCTAGGATGACTTTAATAAAGTGGTTAGAAAAAAACAATTTGATAATCTCAAAAACTTTCCCAGACATACCATAAAAAACAACCTTATGGAGACGACCAACGTGCCAAACTTTGTGAAAAACCTTAGATATGTCAAGAGCAATAGCCCTAGCCTCTCCGTCTCCATCTAATGCGCGATAAAATCTTTCATTCACAGCAGTTAGAAAGTCAGCCGTAGAGCAAGAAGATTGAAAACAGTTATGATTGTCTGACAGCATGTTATATTTACTCAAGATGGGAGGTGAGAAAATTTGTTTATCAAAGACTCAAAGACCTTGCTAATAACAAAAAGAAGACTGATTGGGCGACAATTGAAGGGGTTAGAATGTTCAGCAGAGTTAAAATTAGAACAACAGATGCCATTTTCCAGCAGGCAGGAAAATAAGACTCGGTCAAGCACTTATTAAATAGTTTAGAGAAAATTAAAGAGAGTTCTGGAGAACAATTTTGTAAGACTGTGACAGGAATGTTGTCTGGATCACAAGCCGTAGAAGAGTTTAATAGAGATATAACTTTAGCAATGGAAGCTGGAGTGATTTGAATATCTAACAATGGGTTAACCTGTTTAATTGGAATGGAAGGAAGAGAATGGCCATAAGATTTGAGAGTGAATTAGAAGAGAAGTTCTTTGCAAATAGTTCAGCCTTATCCTTGGTAATAAGATCAGTTACATGAATGAGAGATGGAATGTTAGACCTACCCTTGTTAACAACACTGTTGTAGATTTTTAAAAGTCTCTGCCTAACTTCTGAGATAAGATACAAAATTAAGTAAACTGAGAATAATGGAACTTAGCATCTGACAGTATATGTTTACATCGATTTCTTGCAATAATAAATAGCTGTTTGTTCTCAAGAGAGTTGTTCTTTAAAAAAAGATGAAAAAAAATAATAACAAATAGATATAGCAGCTGCACAACAGGGTGAAAACCATGGAGTAGAATGAGGCTTGTGAGAGGCTTGTGAAAGGAGTAGAATGAGGTTTGTGCACAACAGGGTGAAAACCATGGAGTAGAATGAGGCTTGACCTAAAACTGACAGGAAGGAATAAAAGCATCCATTCCTGCCTGAATCCAGGAGGTTACGTAGGAGTTGCATTTTTTAGCTGAGAGGACAAATTTTGAAGTTATTGGCTTTAGTGCCAGCAGGGTCAGTGACATTAGAACCAAGCCATGAAGAGGTGCTAAGCAGAAACACAAAAATGAGTGGTCAAAGGAATCGAACCTGATTTTTCAGCAAATAGGTGAGTTGATGCAAGTCTGTTGAATTTTGCGAAGTTTAAGGTTCAACTGATGGAAGTTTGCTTCGCAGACCATGAACAAATAGGTGATAGGGAAGGTTTTTTATGTTTAACTTTTTTTTTTTTGCATTTTTAAGTTTACAGAGAACTTGACTCATTCATAGATAGAGCACGGCTCCTCAAACAATGAGCTATGCAATGTTCTCAGTCCTGTTAATTAACCCTAAGTTGTAACATAGGGCTCCTTATGTGGCCTTGACACTGCATACCAAAAAGCATTAACAGGGACACCATCCATATGCAATATGGCACTGTTAATACTTAGATATTTTACAGCTGTTGATGGAATCAGCCTCTCTGAGAGCTACCACAGAGTTCGGGAAACCTTATTTCCAGCTGACCTCAGAACCATTAAACTGAGTTTTAGAGCTTTACCCTCATTAGGAGATAACAGGAAGAGTTGCATAGCCACTATAAAAGAGGCACAAGCAAAAACCTATGAGAAAGTCAATAAGATCCAGCACTCATCATCCTAGGCAGGAAACAATGTGACACAGGTTTCCATCTACGCCAGCCTAATAGATGAAGATGTTCGAGTCTGGTCAACAGAATTATTCTGCTTACCTCTAAAGTCCTTGTCTAAGAGGCCTCCTACAAGACAGTAGTTGGATGCAGTTAATATTTGCCCAAGATGAATATTTTTATTGAGACACCATTTCTAGCCTTTACTCAACTAAGAGCCCTAAGGAGTTTTTAAATCAGAGTTTGTTTCTCCTAGCCTTTGCCTGATAAAACATTCTACAAGGCAGCAGGGCATGGGGCAGGTGGTACTAGGATACATAATACCAGTAGCGAGGTGATCATGATGATATTGAACCTGACTTTAATATTTAAATAGAGTATTAGTTCTGATTTAATTAATCAGAACCTAAAGTGAGAGAATTACTCGAATTTAACTATGCTTTAACATGCCAAGAAATGAAACACACTTTTATCCTTCTTATTCATGACAATGGCATTAAAATATCTACTAACAGTTGCAAACCTCTGTTTAAAAAAAATTATCAAAAAAAATGGAACAAAATATTATTTGCTAATTTTATATTTAAGTTATTTTTTAATCATTTAATGTTTTTCTTTGATGTTTTTATATAATATTTGTAACCATTTTTGTAATTATATTTTGTCTGATGATGATCTGGGCTAAAACATGTCAAAATATTTCAATGAAAATTTCATTTAGTATGCAGCTGTTATTTATGTTTTATACTTTATATATATATATATATATATATATATATATATATATATATATATATATATATATATATATATATATATATATATATATATAAAATGGTCTCAAGTGTTGAGTTTTTAAGTACTTGATTAACATGCAATCTATAAAATAATTGACAAAGACATTTTTCAAGTAGTACATTTTAACAATTTTTTCTTAAGTTGTTTGTGCATCATTTACATCATTTTACAAATAAAAATAAAATAATTAAAAATAAAGTATTTTTAAGTAGTTTTTTTCAATTGGTGAAGTATGTGGGGTAGAGGGTTTTTATTTTATTGTTTTCACTTATTTTGTGTATTAATTTTTTTTCATAAATAAAATGTTTGGTTTTTTATCACGTCAATTTCTACAATAAATGCAACAAAAAAATAAAACTCATCTTATACTAAACTATATTTTCCTGAAAAAATATTTTTAAAGAAATTATAAATTAAAAAATATAATTGCAAAAATTAATAATTAATATAATTAAATTTGTTTAACATTATTTATTTAGCTCTTCTTTTGAAAATCTATTTTTTGTGACATGTATGGAAGTAGACCCATCAAATCCAAATCATATTTATATTGGAACAGAACAAGTAAAAAAAAATTTTTAGTATTTAAAATATGTATTTTTTGTATTTATTAATTTAGTATTTTATGTTCTTTTATCAGAGATAAATTCGGGATCTGTTTGTTAGTTAAGCAGGTACCAGGACCAGGATTTCAGATACAGATCAGTAGGATCAGGATTCAGATCTCAGTCTGTTATAAAAAAGCTGGAATCCAAGATTTGAATCCTAATGTTTTATTTTTAATCTTATCTAATACTCAATTGATCATGATCAATTGACTTTAATAGATCCACATCTATTTCTTTAAGTAAATGTAATATTTCATATTTATAGGGAGAAGTTCTCCATCTGAGCAGATTTGGTAAAAGACCTACTCCAAAGCAATTTGTACATAAAGAGGGTAAAAAAATTAAATAGAAAGATTTTGTAAAAATAATTTTGATTAATTTGCATTTATTTTATTAATACTCTTAGATTCAGCAGTGCGTGTAAATGCAATTAATATTTCACCATGGAGAATTCCTTACATATTGGTATGATAAAACTTTATTCAAGTTTTTATTTACTAAGTTTCATGGCTAATAATTTAACTTTAACCTTCTACTTGTTTTCTTGTGGTAGGTATGCTATAAAAATGGATCAGTTCGACTCTACAACAGCAAATATGGTAGTTGAAATTAGTAGTAATGAAATATGGTAGTTGAAATTAGTAGTAACATGAGTAGTAAGCTGTTAAATGATTAATGACAACATTCTTTTGATATATCAATTTTAGAAAAGTCTATTTTGAGTTGGAGTTCATTTAACAACGGTATTGAAATTATTGATGTTCAATGGTCACGGAGTAAACCTAGCATCTTTTTTGCTATGGATGCAAATTCTTTTTTATTTATCTGGTAATTTTAAAACAAATCATTTAATATCTGGTAATTCTAAAAATAAATAATTTAAAAAAAATTAAGATAATTAGTATTCTAACCTTAATTTAAATAATAAAAATTATTATTGATATCTTTTGTATATATTGTTATATAATTTTTATTTTTTGTACCTAGACTTGAAATAAACAACATTCTATTGCAAATAAATTATATATATGCTTTTTTAAATTATTCACTTATGCTTTAAATTTATTTTTATGTAATTTACTTCATATAATATAATATGTGTGTGTGTGTGTGTGTGTGTGTGTGTGTGTGTGTGTGTGTGTGTGTGTGTGTGTGTGTGTGTGTGTGTGTGTGTGTGTGTGTGTGTGTGTGTGTGTGTGTGTGTGTGTGTGTGTATATATATATATATATATATATATATATATATATATATATATATATATATATATATATATGATAAACATTTTTCTAATAATAACAAAGTCTTTTTTCATCAAATAATTTAAATAAAAACTTTTAACTCTTAATCTACATAATAAAAAATAACTTTTTAATGTCATTGCAAACCAAACAACGATTATAACTAATTTTTATTAACTTGAATATTACTAATTATACTATACTAAGTATACCATTTAAATGTTACCAAGTATAAAGTATATCAAGTACCAAGTATATTTCCAATATTGAAAAAAAGAACTTTAAAAAAGTAAAAACAAAATAAAATGGCTACAAAATAAAATAATAAGATCAAGTTACATTTAAAAAAAAATCATATTTAAAAGGTATTTTTTATTGCAAAATTGTTTAAGAAGAATAAATTGAATTTGTTCATTTAATTTTTTTATTCAAAAATGCAGGTTCTTTACTTAATATTGTTCCAAAGATTATTTTTAATTTTTAAAAAAATCTAAAATTTTTATTTTTAAAATTATGCACACCAGCCCAATAATGACCCCATCAATAAACCAAGCACACTAACCCACAATAACCATAACAATGAATATCTGATCCCATAAATAAAGAAAACTTCTTGACAAAAAGAAACTTGTCAGTTATATCTTATTAAAACTTCAACAAATAGGAGTGAGTTTCAAAAATATTTCACTTGGAAAAACTGCAAAAAAGTGTGATTTTAGCCACTAAACCAGTTTGAAGCCAATTTTATGCTATAAGCAAACTAAAAGATTGAACAAAATAAGTTTACATACATCTGCAGCTTGTCTAGTGGTAAAAAAACTACAAAAAGGTGGTTACTAGTCATAAAAATTCTTATTGATGGTAAGCTTTAGCATTCACTCCCAACAGGGCTAAGAAAAAACAATATTTCAGTTAATTTTAACAGAAAGCAAACAAGAGAGTTATAGTGCAAAAATGAGGTTGCCAGAATTTAAAAAAATAATATAAATTAAAAAGAGAGAACTATAAAGCATAGATGTTTAAAAAATTAATAAATGTTAATAAAGTTTTATTACCATAAAAGAGTGAAAGGACTTTGCTTAATAACAAGCCATGCAAAATTGAGTTTTGTTTGATGGAATAATCGATTATTGTTTTCTTGATGGAACAATCTATGATTTTATTGATTGATGTAACAATCAATGATTGTTTTCTTGATGATTTCATTGGTTGATGGAACAACCGATGATTGTTTTCTTAAGCAGCAGCCATGGTCGTATTTGTAGAATAAAAAAATACTATGATGATGAAAAAATACTATGATAAGTCTATGATGATGCTATAAAACCTCATGCTTGACGGCTAAAGAAGGTCCAACAACATTTACAATTCATTATTGGATCTTATCTAAAAGTGAGAGGGCCTCAAGTGAAGATCCAGCACAAATATACCCATCCTTGTATGGAGTACAACAATATTTTATACTAGGATAAATAAGAGATCTTGAAGATTGAACAGGAGGAAGAAACTGCACAAAAAATAATGCAGCCTCAGCAGATGATAACTTTGTTTCCATAAGACGTCTGCAGTGAAAATCCTAGAAGTCATAAAGCATAGGTTTTAGTATGGATGTTGTCATTTATTGATATTATCAATATTAGAGTATTAGCAGTAAACAACTGAGTTTGGATTAAAATTCACCAGCCACTGCAAGCACTAAGTTGTCACAGAAGAGAGATTCAAAATCTGCTGCTTGTTCCAATTGATGAAAAAGTGATGAATCAACATCAGCAAATCTTTTTAGTGATAAGATTATCAAGAAGACTAACAATATAGATAAAGGGACGAGGAGCAGAACATCAGCTAGATGAAGGGATGAGGAGCAGAACATCAGCTAAGGTGAAACCCTGAGTTATACCAACACTTGAAGATGAAGTTATACCAACACTTGAAGATACCAACACTGAGTTATACCAACACTTGAAGATGAAGTTGTCAAGGACAACTTTATTAATGTAGTTAAAAAATAATGGTTAATTAATTTCAAATTTTTCCCAGATACACCATATAAAACAAGCTTTTGGAGAAGACCAGCATGCCAGAATTTATTGAAAGTCTTTTTTATATCAATAGTCCTTGTCTTACCTATAAATCTTTCTGTTACAACAGTTAACAATTCAGCAGTAGAATGAGAGAATCAAGTTATTAGACTCTAAATGAGATATTAATTATTTAAAGATTTAAAGACTATTAATAATAGTAAGAAGACTGAGAGGGTTGTTTGAGGAGTCAGAGGAATTATCAGAATATTAAAAATTTTCCATTTTCCAGCAGGCAGGAAAGCAAGAGTTAAGTATTGTTAAATAGTTATTTTCCAGCAGGCAGGAAAACTTTTTTTTTAATTTGTTTTCAAAAACAAAAGGTGACATTGAACACATTAAAACAAATGGTGACATTAAACACTAAAGTAAAGTTGTTAGTTAGCTTAGTGACTTTAAACTTTTCTGCAATGGAAATATTTTTATAAATTTAAAAAGTTAGTAACTCTAAATAATACACAATATTTTTTTTTTTAATTGTTTCAATTAACAGGTGTAGTTTTTAGTTTCTAAAATTTCAAAGTTAATTTAAGTATCTGCAGATATTAAGAGAGTATTTTGAAGATGTAATAAAGGTAAAATTTTGTAATGGTAAAAATTTGTTGTAGTTTTTAATGAAACAAAGCTTAATTAAATGTGCCTAAATATAATATTTTTATTGTAAAATGATAAAGACACATTATCTTACACTATTACAACATTTTATGCTATGCAAAGTTTAGGAGGTTGTTACTCATTTAGAAGAGATTTTTTACTTAATAACCAACATATATTTTATAGTGAAGTTTTAGAATCTTATATTTATTTTGCAACTGTTTAAATTTACTTGAAATTTTTGTATTACAAATCAATAGTGTCATACTTTTAAGTTTATTTATATGTGCTACTTACTAACTGTACTTCTTGTCATTGAATATTTGTATACTTGCTATTTTTTACTGTCTACTATAGTTATCATCAATTTATTAATTTTAAAGTAAATTTATTTTGTCTATAAAACAAAGGAAGTTTAGTGCTGAAACATTCAGTTGAACTTCCTTCTTAATTGGAATTAATGTTGTGTAATTTAATCATACCTGCAAACTTTTGTCATTGGTATTTCATTATTAAGATTATTAGACACTACTAACGGTATAGTAGCATATTGTTACTAATGGTATATCAATTTTTTAAATTAATTTTTTTTTAATGTTTCAAAGAAGCATAATGAGGCTAATTGATTAAGTAACTCTTAAGTTATGAAACAAACTCTAAATTTTTGTATGTTCATAAATATGAGGGTTGTAAAAGTACATAACAGCTAAAGTTGATACAATAGCAGCACTAATTCTGACTCAGAAAGCAAAAAAAGACTTCAATTACGCATAGTTTTTCTTAGCACTCAGACTAACTCAAAGTCACTTTTAATTTTTAAAACTAAATCAACACTTCAGGTTCATAAAGAAGAAATGTGCGTTAACAGCACAACTAAAAGTAGTACACAGAAAACTGAGAATAACATTAATGGTGAGGCTCTCTAGTTAAAATAATGTATTGAGTATGCATAAAAAGAATTCAACTTTTCTTTTATGATGTTTCTATTTAAATTGTGTGCTGTCTTTTATAGTTATCATCAATGTATATAAATTGAGTGTCTAAGTTCAGTTTTAAAGTAAATTTCTTTTGTTTATGAAAAAAGACAATTTTTGTCATGGAACATTTCCCATCATCCAATTCTTCATCAGTTAAACTGATAAATAATCATTTTTGATTCACAAATATTTGGTGTAATATTTACATGGTGTAATATTTGTTCTTCACCAAAAAGCTTATTAAAATTGAAATATAAAAGTTTGTGCTGGCCCTACACACATGTTACATTATGTTGGAGTGCAAACTATGAGGGAATTTAACATAGTCTGCAGTCTATGTCGTCTATGAAAAGATATAAATCTAGCAAATGCGAGAGAAAGCAGCTCTATTAAAGATTTTGGAATAACTCTTAAACAAGAAGCAAATTTAAGAGAAAGTTGTTCTATTGAAGATTTTGGAATAATTCTAAAACAATAAGCTTGACAAAACATTTTTTTTTTTAGGGATTTGTTAGTAGATGATTCTTTACCTATCCAACAGTATCAGCTAAAAAGAAAAGACAAGAGGTCTAGATATAGGCTATTATTATTGTCTGTTTTTATTTTTTATTTTCAATATATTTTAATTTATTTTAATAAATTGCAAATAATTTTTAAATATATTTTTTGCTTGATGATTATTAATGGATTTTTTTTTTTTTCTGTAACATTTTTTTTTCACAACTTTTTTTTAATGAAAATTATTGATTGTAAAATTAGGAAATGAATAACATACTTTTCTAGAGCCATTGGATTTAAATTTGCTAACGATTACTCAGCAATAGGTATTGGTACACCAGGTCGTGCTCCAGAAATGGTATATATTTTATTTGGTTTTTTTTACTAAGTTTTTAGTTTTGTATATTGAGTTTTTGCATTACAATAATAATAGCAATATTACCTGTAACCATAGCTACTTAATTGTGGCATTTGTAAGCTAGAATAAATAAAAACATGCCAATTGTAACAGTACTTAGTAAAGTTAAAAAATGTATAACATAATATTTGCTAGCTGTTTGTTTTAATGATTATTTACATTAAGTATTTTAAATAAAATTATTGGAATTTTAGTAGAAATAGTGAAATTTTAATTTTAGTATTGGAATTTTAGTTTTTTTAAATGGGAAAAACTAAAGATATACTGAAATAGAAAAAACTAAAGATATACTTAAAAAAAAAACTAATGATATACTGAAATGGGAAAATTTTTTAGAAAAATCTATTCTGATTCTGGAAGTGAATGACTAAATAAAAATCTTTATTTAGTCATTTATTTCCAAAGAAAAATTACAAATGTTTCTGTGATGAGAGTAAACAGATTCAAGACAATTTTATTAAAAAAATACCCTTATAATTTGAAAAAGTTGAAAATTGTGAAAAACTACATATCACTAGGCTAAGGGGAGAATTTATATCAATTTTATTGATATTTATATCAATTGATATTTATATCAAATTTATATCAATTGGGTTGAAAACTCAAGACAAAGTACCAAAACACTTACTAAAATCCAGCAAGAAGCTGGCCTGTAGGTATAATAGTTTCTAACAAAACTACTAGGCTTATATAAAAAAAAAACTGTTAAAATGCTTAAAAGATCCACAAAAAACCTAAACTCAATCTAAAAATAAAATCAAAACATTTAAATTGAGGTATTCAGCATCAACACATGTCAGCTAAAGATTGATAAAATGTAAGTAAATACTTATTTGATTATTAATTGTCACAATGAGACTGATTAATATGAGCTTTTATATGATTACTTTTATATGACATTAATATGAGCTTTTATATGATTGTTTTTGTTTTATTTCAGGTGTGTTTTTCAGATGATTGAAAACTTGAAATTAAAGTATCTGTTAAAAGCAAAAGAATGACGAAATTTAATGAGTTAAAAGTTTCTGATTTAATATCAAAACTCCAATTTTAATGAAGTAACTGATTGTGTATCATTTAATCTCACTTCTAATAATAATGAATATTTGGTTTCTAATTATGCTAATTATTCATATTGTTAAAACTTTAAGTAATTTAAAAGTTTAATTTTCAACTTAGTTTCACAATTAATTTCACAAGTGGCCATCAGAATAAAAATATTTTAAAAAATTTAATATAAGCACTTCACAAGTCAAAAAGTGATGATTGGTAATGGTTGATGGTCTTAATCTTGTTCCATCACTAAAAAGTAATGTGTGTTTGCTTTGAAGTTTTGCTGATTAACATCTAATCAAATATGCTATGATCTAATGATCTAAATCATGATAATGCAAAACATGATCATACTAATGAGTTATCTGAATACTGGGTTGAACTCAAGGACTGATGTTACAATTTTAAAGGGTAAAACTTAAAAAGACAAGTCTGCAGAGGGAAAGTTATTATAAGTGCTAAGCAAAATATACAATTGGGTTCGCAAAGGTATTTAAAGAAGAAGAAGAAGAAGAAGAAGAAGAAGAAGAAGAAGAAGAAGAAGAAGAAGAAGAAGAAGAAGAAGAAGAAGAAGAAGAAGAAGAAGAAGAAGAAGAAGAAGAAGAAGAAGTTCTAAATTATTATAAAAAATCATAATATCATTATCAAGAATAAATATCAATAATAGTAAAAGTAATGCATTTCTAACATTACAATGAGTTTAAATAACAAACTAAAGAAAAAAAAATTTTCTATTACAATTACAAGTGGAAATATAAGATGGGACAAATATGTCCCTATGGTCCTCAAGTAAACTATGGGTCACATTTGTCCCATATGGCAGTCACATTTAACAAGTGCGTTTTAATTCAATAATTTAACTCAAAATAAGTATAATATAAAAAAACTAAATAAAATACTAATAGAATACAAAATGCTTTGCAAAATTGTTCTACTTAGTGATCATTATTAGCAGTTTTCTTGAAATAAAATAAATATTTTCAAATTTCTATTGTGGAGATATCATTCTCTTTACTGTGTGAATTTGTGAAATTCAGCAAAGCAATTACGTGTTTTAGTGTAGCACAGGCTCACACCACATGTGTCACAGAAACTGTCAGTGCGGTTTTCAATACCATGCTTGGCACATTGAGCACATCGTTTGCGATGTTCTTTCCTGCTCAAGCAGTGTTGTGGTTTTGGTGTTGTTAAGAGAGATCTTGACGCTGACCTAACAACTGCTAATGGAGCATTTCTTTGTCTGTTAGAATATTGACCAATAAGACTTCTTGCTACCATTTGTCTATATTGTAGTAGTGTTATTGACTTGTACTCTGAATTTCTCTCTTGATTGATTTGTACATAAATACAATGGCTGTTGTTCACAGCAATATCAAGAAGATCAAAAAAAATTCTTAAATAATACTTGGTTTTAGACTTTCGATCAGTCTCATATGGTACTTTTTTTTTTGGTCCATGAGGTCAACACCACCCATAAACTTGTTGTAATGTGTAACAATAGTTGGACATGGAACTCGTAACTTTTCTGCGCATCCTGCATTCCTCCTAAGAACAAGCGATACATCATCTTTTGAACATGGTATAAAATTAGACAACAGAGTTACTGATCTGTTATCCATCCATTTGACACAAGTAATCCCATTAGCTGTCATAGCATCCATGTCTCCTTGCTTCATTTCCTTGTCTGGTTTGAAGTTATTTGGCATATACTTTCTGTCAATACGAACAGTGCCGCATAAATAAATTTTTTTTTTGTAGCATGTGAACTTGTAATAGTGGCGAGTTAAAGAAGTTATCTATAAAAACATGACAACACAACTCTTCGATTTTTTTTGGCAAAATGACAACAACACTCTCACCAAGGCTATATTCTGTGCTTACTTTGCGTCCTGTATAAAGATCAAACTGATAAAGGTAGCCTGTTACAGCATCACATCTGCACCACAACTTAAATCCCCACTTAATGGGTTTATTTTTTATGTATTGTTTCATGATGTTTTGACCTTTAAATTTTATCATGTGTTTGCTTCCTTTTCTGTGCTTGCTTGCATTTCTGGCAACAGGCGGACTTTGAAAGCCCGATCACACTGTGAATGACTTCTTGGTAACATTTCATCATTATTTGCAAAATGCAATGCTGAACAAATTGTCTCAAATCGTAATCGAGGCATTGTATTTGATACAAATGGGACCTGAAGATCTGGTTGACTAGACCAATAATCTCTGATAAAGGGTAAAACATGGTAGCTCATAATAAGACAAATTCCAAAGAAAGCACACATTTCCGCTTTATCAGTCTGAAATGGAATGCCTTTTTGCTTCATCTATAGCTCACTCTGTTCTATAATTAGCAAAACTAAGGTATCTAATTCAGTCACTTTTTCGAAAACAGAAAAAGCATCAATATCTGCTGATTCTTCAAAGTTAAAATTTACTTGTCCATAATTATAGTCAAGTGTCTCAGGTCTGGTTTTTGATGTCTGCCTTTTCCACTTGAAATCGACATCAGGGTGTACTGATGAACCGACTGCTTTAGACTTTGATTTTGTTGGTAGTTGTAGGTTCTCTTGTGTTTTTGGTACTGGAGTGTCATCAGACCTCGGAGTGTATATTGCTTCTGTTAATCGTTTAGGGTAAGTTTTTAACTTTAATTGTGTTGATTCTTCTGGAATATTGGTGGTACATTTATGCTTTGATTACAGTATGTCACAGCCTGTGACACAGGTTTGACCACACTATTGGTTGTTTTTGTGTTACTAGGTTCGTAGGAAAGATCCGGTCGCTCTATGACAACTTCCTGTGCAACAAAGTCAACATCTTTAAGTAAGAAGCTTTCATCTTTATGATCAAGAAGCAATTTCTCGTCATCATCATCACTGTTGTCAGCAAATAACAGTTGCTGTATATCTGTTTCATTTATTTTAAATAATCGTTCGCAGCCAGACATTGTTTCACAGTTTCTATATATAAGAACTAAAAATAAACAAAACAACCTTATATGTAACAAAATTTCACTTGTTGACAATAGGGACAAATGAGTCCCATTTGCAAATCTGGCTACTAAATTAAGAATTTTTAAGCAAAAATTAAAATAATTAGTAAAACTTATTAATAACATCCACATAAGCAAAAAAAAAAATCAATAAATATCTATATCGATGCAACGCGTTCTATGGGGCGCCAAAAAAGTTTTTTTTTTTTTTTTTAATGCATGGTTGCAGGTTGATTTATTTACTCTTAAACTTAAAGAATGGTCAAAAAACATTATTTTAAAAAACAAACTAGTATTAATATAAAATAATTAATTTTGAAAAGCTTATGATAAAATGGGTAGATGTATTGCTTAATATAATGAATGGGACAAATATGTCCCTTGGTCCTCAAAGGGTTAAAAAATAATGATAATAACAATAATAACTTTATTCATTAATAGAGCAAAAGTAACGGCAAAAGTAATAGTATTTATAATAATTATAATAATAATAATAAAAATAGCAGTAATAAAAACACAAATAAAAGTGACAAAAACAATAGTGACAAACAAAGTTTCTATAAAACTAGTAAGAAGAAAAAGAAAAATAAGAAAACTAAAAGAAATTAATAATGATAAAAAAATTAAATTAAATTTTTTTCAGAATTTTTTAAATTTATTTTGTTTTAAATTAAGTTTTAATTTTTCAAACTCATTCACAATGCATACAAGACTTCGATTCCATTTATTGATGCACTGATGTGTAATTGAATACTTACCATACCTCAAAGTTTTAAAGGGAGGTACATTTAGTTTTCCATTATTGATGTTTCTAGTTAAATGTAAATGTATAAATCAAGTTTCAGTGAAAAAGGTTGTAATAGAGGAAGGCAAATTTTTTATTAAGAAAGTCAAAAACAAAAAGAAGATTTAACTAGTGCTGACAAGGTTGGAATTTTAAGTTTTTTGAAGAAGTTTGAAGTTTCTGTATTAAGAACTTTAAAATTTATTATTTGGGTTGATTGACGCTGAGCTGATAATAATTTATTAGTATTACAGTTGCACAGTAGTTGAGATGAGACTGAAAAATTGCGAAATTACAGATTCTTAAGGGTAGTTTTATCAACATAATAGCAAATTATTGAAAGCATGTCATTAGCTCGATTAAGTTTTTTTACGGAGTGCATCTATATGAGAATTCCATCAGAGGTTCGAATCTATAAACATACCAAGATATTTAACAACATGTGTTGGATATAAACGTCTATTAATAATTTTAATTTTAGTTATATGATTGTTGTATAAAAGTTTTTATCTTGGAGATGAATTTACCAAGTTCAGAGAAATAAAATTTACATTTAGCCAATGAACTTTTTAGATCTAAGTTTATATTCTTACTCAAGGAATGATAAGACTTATTAATATGCAAGATATAAGTATCATCAGCAAACTAATGGGCTGATGTGAAATGGATGGAGTTATTTAGATCATTAATATAAATCAAAAACAATAGTGGGTCAAGAACAGAACCCTGGGGAACGCCACAAACTATGTTTTTTTAATTTGGTTTATAACCATTAATGCTAACAAACTGCTTCCGATTTGAGAGATAGCGTCCAAATGAAATGCTTAATGAAAAACGTCCAAGTTAATGTTTAACTGAACATTACGGTGATTATTAATGACCGTAATGTTGACTGAACATTACGGTGACTGAACAGTTGACTGAACATTACGGTGATTTTTAATGACCGTAATGATTTTAAATGTTTAAATTTAATTTTAATCTCATATTTTTTGTAAATAAATTGTTTATGTTTTATTTTTTATTCACCTGAATAGTTACCGCCACATTTCCAAAAATCTTTTTCATGACTTTTCTTATCTTATTGAAATATTATTATTTATGGAAAACCAACCCATTTAGCCAGCTTGTACAATCATTTGACCTCAGGCGGATCTAGACTTAAATTACAAAGTAAATCTTACTTTTCTTAACAACAACTTTCATGTTCTCAATTTCATCATTAAAAAGGTGAAGGTATTAATAATGCTCAAAAAGTATGTAATAATTATATAAAAGTTTGAATTTTATCAGAATGCCTAAAAAAATATTTCTCAATAATATTTTTTGTACACTTTAAATTTCAATTTTATTAACTGCTCATAGAATTAACGTTGTTTTACCATCATCAATATTTCATTGCATAAAAATTTGTTATTTTTAGGCAGTTGTATATGGTGATGGATCAATTGAAGTTCATCGCTTATCAAGACAAATTTCAAATATGTCAGCCGAAGATTTCGATAAAACAGAAGAATACTTAGCACAATTTACAGCAGGGTCATAAATAATTTTTTAATTAAAAATTTAAAATATTTTTTATCATAGGTGTAATATATTGTTATGAATTTATAGATGTAATATATTTAAATATAAATTTGTGTGTGGAATTTACTATTTCTATTGCGCATGGAAATTTCATAGTATATTAATTTTAGTTTTTCTTTTAATCTTTTGTTTATTACTAAAATTTTTATCAAATAATTTGGACGCGTCATAAAAAGAACTTTTTGCGCGTAATCTCGCGTGTATTTCTTGTCAGGATAAATTTGATATACTCAAAACTTGTTGATGTTTGAGGAGAAAAGTTTTGAGGTTAAAAGTTTTTTTTCCATTTTAAAGATGTATATCATCAAATTCTTGAGAGAATGGACTAAATGATAAATTCTTGAGAGAATGAATTAAAAGTTTCCATTTCAATGTAAAACATCAAACACGTGTCTATCTTCTATTGATAAGCCATTCAGTTTATTTAACTGAATGCTAAAAGAATTTGTCACCATTGAAATAAGAAAGTTACCCTAAAATATGAGTTTTTCAAGTATTTATATGAAATCTATTGAGAAAAGAATTAAAAAGGTATAAAAAAACAAAATATCTTTAAAAAACTGATAAAATGCAAGAATGCTATGTATTTGGAATAAATGTTCTGTATTTGTTCTTGATTGATATAACTAACATTAAAGTCATACAACTTTAGTAAAGATAAGAAATTATATGTTGTTGTTTTATACAACTTTCACATATAAAATAAATAATTTTTCAATTAGCAGCTCATTTACGTCAGAAGATAGCATATTGTATGTTAATGTGAATGTTTATAATTTATGCTTAGATTTTTATTTCAATGTATATACATTCTTATTTACATATACTTAAATGTGTATTTGTGTGTATGCATATATAAATAAAACAATTAACTTTGTATTTTGTATAAATAGAACAATATGGTTAAAGATAATCTCTATGTTTTGTCAATCAGACGTTTAGGATCATTTGAAGCTCAAAGCAGCAAAGAATTGTTTACAAAATGGGGTCTTATTTCTATGTCTTATCACGTTTTTGATTACACAGAGTTTATAGAGCTTTCGAATCCCAAAGAATTTGTACAACATTTTTTTAAATTTCTTAACAAAAACAAGTTGTTGAATAATGTTGATCTTTTTAATTTAAAAGATTTTAGTGTTGTTAAGCTAAGAGCGACTGCTATGAGTATCTCTTTTTTTGATCGCTTGGAAACTTCTGGTCTTGTTCATAAAAGTGGATGTATTACGAAGTGTTATGATGAGATGATAAATGATATACTGATATCAGATGAATTACGTAAAATGATTTTATCGAAAGAATCAGTCTACAAAAATCTTTTCTGCAACGATGAACGTTTAGAATTTATCTTCCACATTTTTAAGTGTCTTGTTATCGGAGGAAATTGCTGCCAGTTTGAAGACAACGTGAAGTCATATATAGGTTTAACAAAAGTTATTTACAAGGACCTAATGAGCGTTCAAAAAAATCTGTCGACTCAAATTATATCAATAAAATCCGTTACTTTCATGATCATTTGGCCGACAATGAAAGAAAATGAATTTTGCTACATTATTTTAGATGAAGAGAAAAGGCAACTTATTCTGTGGTACTTTTTAAACAATTGAATTTTATGTAATTATTTTATATTATTTTATTAAATAAATTTTGAGTAATCAGAGCACATCCAAAGCCCAAAAGGCTTTTTGTTTTTTATTTTTTTGTTTTTGTTGCAAAACGTTAAAAATCTACAATTCATTGTCATCAAAAAATAATGCTGCGTTTGAAAATTGTTAAGTGTTTCCTCCTTTCCAAAGTAACACTAGTTTTATTTAAATTTTTTGCCGAAAGCGTCTCTTACCGAATTGGCATTCTGGATTAACGTGCTTTTTACTAGTTAAATTAAGGTCATTTTCAGATGAATCTATCCCTATTAATGCTTTACAATTTACAAATACAACTTTTTTTTTAAATAAATAGACGTGTTGAAGCATTGGCAATAGTCTTCCTTCAAGTCTTGTGATCTGTTAATAAAGTTATTTGTTAATAAGTTATAACCAATTCAGTTGCAACATATTTATGCAAGATATCTTTTATGTTAGTCTGAAAGTCTTCCTAATAACTAAACTGTAAGTAACAACATTTGTTTCTTCTATGCCAAATATGTCTAGCATTGAGAGGCCAAATCTTTGTTGACAAAAAATCGTTGAAAGAACTCATTAAAAATGGTTCTTTATCTCTGATTATTTTTCTTCGTTAAAGAGTTGGTTCATGTCTTTTTCTATATCTTTTTTTTATATATATTAACATATATATATATATATATATATATATATATATATATATATATATATATATATATATATATATATATATATATATATATATATATATATATATATATATATACAATAACAGCTAGTTTCACACCTCATGTAAAACACGTTGATTTATTGATAATTATTTCCCAACTTTTCTTGTTTCGTCAGTCATAATATTGACATATTTTTTCGCATATCAAGTTCATGTGCTGCAAGCTTTTATTCTAATAGATCAATTCATGCATTGATCCCGTCATACAGATTAAACCTAACTACCATTTACTGTTCTCAAGATATTCTAAAAACTCTGGAGATCTGATTCCTCTAACTATCAAACAATCAGTTGTCTTACTATTGATAACAAAGTTTCTTAAATCTCATCTTGAGTCTTAAATCTTGAGGCTTCGTGATAAGATCATTACGATCTTTTTGAAGACCGGCCCGTACTATTTAATTATAAATTTCACTATATATTTCGACTCACGAGACTTAATATTACACCTTTAATTTACGAAACTTGAAAAATTTTATATATACGGCATTTATAAGAATTAAAAAAAAAGTCTAACGACTTACTTGCTGACAAAGCAGATTTTAATGCTCCTATTCTGATTCTGTTTCGTTAAAAGTTATAACAGAAAAGTTGTCTTTTTTATTTTTATCATGATGTAAGAATGAACTTTCAATAGCGTCAATAAGTTAGCAAAAACAACTACTAATTATTTTATTTTTAGTTTTTCTTTTAAATTAAGAAGTCCTCGTCATTTGACTCAGAGATACTTAAGTTATGCTTTAAAAATAATTGCAAGCTTTCCTTTAATAATCACGCTGCCAACCAATGCTTTAATAACCACGTTGATTACTGTTTTACTTGCTAATGGAATCAAATTATTTCTTGAATTATTAAAAAAAGAAATTTAGCTTAGTAGAATTAGAACATGTTGAAAAAGTTGAGTTTTTTCATTTTAATTCCAAAAATTTTTCTAAAACTTCTTACATTATAAAAAGTTTGAGAAAAAAGTTGGAACATAATAAACGTGAAAATATATTAATAATATGAATTATAAGTTATAGTTACATGAATCGAGTTAAACTTATCTTGTTCAAGAATCTTTTTTAATTCTTGGGTATATAAAAAACTGTATTTATTTTGTAAAGTGCTTGCTCCACTAAAAAAATTTATATATAAGTTTAATGCACAGTTATCATTCTGCAAGTTTCCTGATGAAAATGTTATCACTAAAAATGTTTGTAACTTTTTAAAAGTTTATATTACTTTTTCAGAAAACTTACGATCTTTTAAAAATCTATTAAACTCTGTAGATACTTGAACAGCAAGTTTTAAGCTGAGACCCGCTGCTCGCTTTAAAAATTCAAAATTCGAGCAGATTTTAAAAATTCAAAACTCGAGCAGATTTTAAAGGTATTTACATCTACAATGTGGTATAGAAATAGCATATTTGCTTTGTGGGGTATTCTATGTAAGTTTCCTAGAGACATGATATAAATTAAAAATTTACCTGAAAATCTAATTGTTTACAAATATCAACAATTTGTATATAAATTTAACAATCATTATTCGATCCTAGCGGATTTTAAAATGTGCTTTAAAGCAAACACATAAATTCATTTGCCATTATTATTGAAGAACACTTCAACAACTCATGGGAAGACGATGAGTGAATTTATATTATAGATATATAATAAAATTTTCAATAGTTTGTTTACTATTTGATGAGGTATCAACTGTTCTATAATATATTATGCTGAGATATAAATGTATAATTAAACCAGAAAAAATCAATGGTGCTTACATATATTTTTAATGTTACTTTAGGGAGAGGATGGAGTACAAAATCTGACATCATATATAAGGGGGTTTTGTCAAAAATTGGCAGAGTTTGACAAAGAGGGGAGGGGGTTAAAAATTGAGAAAAATCACACACATCAATTATGGACAGCCCCTTTTACTAAGTTGGAAAATTTTTCAATTTTCCTTGAACGTTCTATAAATACCAAGAGCTACGCTTAACTCGGACATTCCCTAAGTCGTACTTTTTATCTGTTCCTATTGAGAGTCCAACTTAACGGGATTTCACTGTATATATATATATATATATATATATATATATATATATATATATATATATATATATATATATATATATATATATATATATATATATATATATTAGGGTAGGTCGATTTTAATTCCGCATATTGCGTAATATTGCAGTAGTTGTAGACAGTTAAAATACGATTACTCTCAAAATTTGAGAGATTTTGGATAAAGAATCGCTTGCGGATTTAATTTTTAAGATTTGTTGGATTATGTAAAAAAACACCTTAAAAAGCGTTATATGCAAAACTTGACGTTTTAACTAAGTTCATATTTAAATGTTTTTCAATACTATTTGCTTTGCTGTATGATTTAAGTTTATAACAGTTTATAACAATTAAGCTAAATTTATAACAACTTGTTAACTATTTGAAGATTTAAATAGTGAAACTTTTATTCTTATATTTACATAAGAATATCAAAATAAACATTATTTTCACAATTTAAAAACATTTTGGCTATGGATATATATATTTTAGGAAAACATTTTCAATTAAAAAATATCATCATAAGAATGGGAATAATGCCCTTTTGAAATATACGGTTTACGCATCTTCCTGCTAAGTAGTTTAGTTAAAATGCAGCTGTGTCGATTCTCGAATCCATAAACATATTGGGATGCGTCCGACACAAGTTTTACCGCTCGCTCAACACTCTGGGAGTGAGATGGAAAGTCGGGGATTTCAGGTTTAACATTATTGTCAATCGCATATTGGATTTGCTCAATTGAAAAATGTTGTGTTGTTGGGGGCTCCGTAAATTTAGTAATGCTGATATCAACCAACTCATACCAATGATTAGCATTAGAATTAATTTCTGGAATTTTTTTCAAATTTACTTCCAAACTTTCGATGTTTACTCTATAAATATAAATCAAATCCAATTACCACATTTAATGTATCATTTTTTTTCAAAACTTTATTTTAGTTTACTATAAAAAAATACCTTCGCCTTAGACCCAGTAGGATTTGAAAACCTAAGTTTCGTATCTTGCTGTCATTATCTTTTAACATGGCATAATGAATATTTTCAGGTTTTAGGCACAATGCATTGTTTTTAATGTTTTTTTTTAACAATATATTTAACATCATCAAAGGGGAGATTATTTATTCTAGTGATAGTAGAAAAAATAAAGCGCGGGGATTCGTGAAATTTTGAAGATTTTTTTATATCGAACCACGCTGGAGCGTAAACCTGAACTATAAAACATACGAGTTTTTTTAAAGAAACAGTTGATTGATTGTCTCTAGTATACAAACAGAGAAGGCGAATAGCTATAGTTACCTTGCGTGTAACCACCTTGCGTGGTTAAGCGGTCCAATTTTATAGGCGGCCCATTTATCAGAAACTTTACCAAAAGCCTATTCCTTTGCAATATTCAAATAAAAGTCTTTGATCGCAACTAAGGTCTACTAGTATTTCTTTTGGAATATATCCATCTACAATTGGGTTTTCAATACGATTAAACAAAACTTGATTTTTATCCTGAATATTTTCAGCACATCTTTTGCCAAGTAGACCACTAAAGCTTCTTGGCCCAGTTGTGTCACCACCAAGTTTTACAAAAAGAGCTCGTAACGGAAGTTCATTTTGATGTAATGCGCATTCAATTAGATGTAGTTTTCTTTTTAAAAACTCTTCTAGTTTTACCACTAAGCCACTTATTGGTCCAGTATTGGCAGCAGTATTATCAAGAAGAACAGCTTGTATACTTTCCAAACTGTTATGTTCTTGTAAAACACTAAACGTTTCGGTAGCAAGAACTAAACCTGTAGCACCGGTGACAGGAATCGTCCTATGAGTCAAATAATTTCCACTCGATTTTCCATCTACATAAGTAAATGTGAGGTGATGTTCAAGTTCAATGCATTTCTTTAGTACTTCTCCTTGAGGTAAGTTTATTACTATACTTGTTTTAGTTATTTGACCGAGCTTGCTGTCAACCCCAAGACAAATTAACTGTTTTTTTTTGTTCTGAGTCCACCTCTTCACTAACGATTTTTACTTTTGACTTGGCCCTATCTAACTTGCATTTGTCAATCAAAATATCTTTAATATCAACGTCATTTTTCAAGAGATGTTTTATGTCATGTAGTAAAGCATTTGCAAGGGCTGCACCTACGTTTGACGAACACTCATTTCTGACTAATTCCATTGCAAATCTTGGAAGTTTAACTAAGTTGTATTTTCCAATAGGATTATTTACTGGTTTCCATTCACCTTCATCCTAAAAAGAGTTAATAAAATAAAACGCTTTCTGTTTCATCTGTTACAAATATTTCATGTATTTATAAAATATTTACCTCCGTATTGGTCAAACCACTTGTTTCTTCAATTAAGTTTACTTGTGCTATAAGGGATTCATCTTCATTAACTAGCTTATGAGATATTTTTTGTCGTTCTTTATCAAGTCTTTGAATCCTTTTGACAGATAATCTATTGACGGAAGAAAGTTGATATGCACCTTTTGGACCAATTTTTTTCCTCTGATCACGAAGATAAGCTCTGTCTTCCAGAGGCACTTTATTACTTTGAGAACAAAGGCATACAATATGTTCTTCGATGCAATTTTATTTATTACATGAAACTTTTCTGTCACTACAGGGAAACACATCTAATGAACAGGAATACGCAGAAATATCAAAAAGTTTGTCCAAGTTTGCATCAAGATTTCTTTTAGCGCTTGCTTTTCCGTGCTTGCGATTAATATCCTTAACAAGTACGAGAAGATCTTTAACTTTCCTATTAATAGATTTGTCAGTTTTAAGAGGTAATCTTGGGTTTACTGTAGCCCAAATTGATTTTATATTATTGCTAATTTGCTGAGTCACTAATAAGATATCTGCATTTGGATTTATATGAATAAGATAGTAATAATACTGAATAACCTGTCTAAAAGTGCTTGGATCTGTCGTTGATAGTTCACATGGGCCACCACAATATTTTTTTTCACTTTTCATCCGTGTAATTGCAACCTTTACTTTCGGCATTTTTGTAAATTAATTATATATGTAAACTGTATTAAAGTATTACACTTAGAGTAATGGGCAACAGCGTGAGTTTTTAGTGGGGGCCTATGCATCAAAAAAACCTAAAATATTAAAACTTACTATTAAAAACCTGCTTTGATAAAAATAAAGAAATAAAACTTTTTTGAAAAGATTTGGGGGCCATGAATTCAGGAAACTCAGGAATTGAGTAAAACCATTAGTTCCATCGAAAAGTTTTATATTTTAATCTACTTCAGAAATTGCAAATCAAAAGTTATGTAATATAAACAGTTTAAAACATTACTCTAGATATAATAACCATAAGTATTTACCTTTGATATTAAAAGATTTCTTTAAACTGCAGTTTTATTTTTGAACCTACTTTTTAATAAATTTAACCTTAAAACTAACTTTAAAATACAAACAAAAAATATAAATACAAAAAAGATTTGTTTATTGTTTATTGGTTACTTTATATACTCAAAACGAGATATTTTAAAACGAGATTACTAGACTTAAAATAAAATTTTGCAACGTTTGAAATAAACAATCTAACAAAACTAGTCCAAAATTAAGACTTAAAATGCAAATCCGCAAGCCATTTTTAAACCAGGATACTTGAGATTTGGTAAAACCTCATTTCTAACCAAGACACAGTTACTGCAACATTACGCAACTCAAAATTCAAAAAAAAAGCTAAAATCGACCTACCCTAATATATATATATATATATATATATATATATATATATATATATATATATATATATATATATATATATATATATATATATATATATATATATATATATATATATATATATATATATATATATATATATATATATATATATATATATATATATATATATATATATATATATATATATATATATATATATATATATATGTCTAGGGGATGTCTGCTACGTCGTACCCAAAAAAATTAAATAAAAGTTTTTTAACTTGATTATATTGTTGAAAATAAAATAAAAATCTTACTATATGTAACTATTAAAATCAAAATACAGCTAAAACTAAACAAATTATGCACGGTTAATTATCTGAAACGGTTGGAATAAAATTAAAAACCGGAAAACGGTTCAAATTCCAAAATATTAAAAGCCGGAAAATATTATATCGGTTTCATAATTTTGCGATTGTTAAAAAATAATAATTACAATATTTTGATGGAGGTTAAACTAACTTTTGAGTTAAATAACTTAATTAGAAACTTGAATTGAAATACCTTATTTATTTTGTTATATAGAACTTTATTTTTTTAATTTTTTTTTTCATTGGTTTAAAAAAAATTAGAATAATTATTTTAGTAAAACAAACTTTGGACTTCCCTTTTGACATACATCCTGAGTAGAATTTTTATCGAGTTTTATTGTTTAACTATCACCAGGAGGTAAAATAAGTTAGTAACAACAAGTATATATCAAAATATATTAATTGACATTCCCTGTTTTATTACACTAGATTGTGTATCATTTTAATAACTTGCATTTGAAGCAATAAATAAGGAGAAAAAAGGTTTCAAATGTGGAAAATAAATTTCGGACTTCCCTTTTGCCATGCACCCTGCTTAATTTGTGTTTTATTAAATTAATTAATTTTATTATATATATAACATGGCCGGTGATTATTTCAAAATGTCGCTTAATTCGCAAGCTAATAAAGCATTTTAAAGAAAAAGTTAGTATGTTAAAGAAAAGCATCATTTCCTATAAAGTTAGGCGAACAAATATTATATTAATTGTGTAGAACTTTTGATATCACGATATCCTTTTGATACAAGAAAGGAAGACAGAGAGTTGTTACAAGTAGAAGCTGTTTATAGTTGCATCGATAAAAACTAGTATTTGGTTTTCTGGCGGACCTGTACACGACGCACCCTAAACTCGGTGAAGTTCGTCATTTCTTGGAACGAATATTCTCGGTGTTCGCTTTTGGTATTTTACAGAATAGGCGCTAAAATATTGCGTTAATGCGCGCCATAATGGTAACGTCGAAAATAAAAACGAGCGGCTATTTCCTGAGATCAGATCCCTGTTTTGATTGGACGAAAAATGTAACTTGCATTAGGTCCGATAAAATGTTTATCGTTAGCCGGATTGCGACTTTACAAACCCACTATAAGCACAGAATAGCCATCAAAACTGGCCAATCTGATTCGCTTATTTTGAAAGAGAGGCAAATCTGCAAAATTGGAATTTAAACTTTCGCGCAATAAAAAAAATAATAAACCTTGCTTAATAACAACAGCGGTAGTGATTCTAAAAAAAATGAATTCAACATTCCCTATTTTATTTAATTCAAAGTTAATTTTTGAAGATAAAAATGTTATTCAATTGCGAGCATCAATTAAATCAGAAGATGAAGCGAACCAATGGGTAGAAGAATATGGACATAAAACGCACACTAGATGGCTAAAGTCATACAAGCTGAATGAACCTACAAGGTTGGATTCTTAACCAATTTTATCTTTTACCACGAAATATGATACATATATTTAATATAAATATCATAGATATATATATTAAATATATATATTTATATATATATAAGGAAAAAAAAAATTAGATAAGTGTTTTTACTTATTTATTTTTACTCTGTTCTTTAACAACGTTGAGCTCTCTTGTAGAATACACTAACATAATTTATATATATTTAATATATATATATATATATATATATATATATATATATATATATATATATATATATATATATATATATATATATATATATATATATATATATATATATATATATATATATATATATAATTTAAACACGCACATACTACAAGTTGTATAAGGGTATTTATTCCTTGGTTACAGTTGAGCAAACTTTACGCTAAAATGTTGTCAGTTTAGCACACTTAATGACCATAAATTAAATTCAAGATCAAACAGTTGATAATGTTTATCTCAAAAAAAAATGTGCTTCTTACATGGCAAATTTTATGTCCTGTGTTCAAGGTAGTTTAATATATTGTTTTTTAAATTTAAATAACATTCATTTCAAGGAACATCATTTTAAAAATTTCACACAAACAATGATGTATTATACCCATTATTGTTATTTTTTTATTTCATTTTTTTAGTTCTGTAATTTTGGTTTTTCTACTGTTGGAACATGGTTTAATTATGTAAATTTTTATGATTTAAAATTTACTTTATTAATCATTAGTCAACAGGAAATAATTGGATTTCTACTTGATTGAAGTAAGAGATATTTTTTTTTCTGGTATCATTTTTTCTATTTTGTTATACTATTATAAGTACCGACCATTATAAGTCATTTGCTGATGTTTTAAATTTGTCATGACTATTTAACACAATGTCTTGAAATATAACATTGGCATATAATAAGTTTGTTAAAGCAATGTTTCCTTGTTACCTCAGAAAATAAACTTTTAAATATTTGTGGTTTTAAATAAAGTGATTTGGGGTTTATTTGAATAAAGTGATTTGGGGTTATTTGGCTTTCTTTAATACAAACAAGGTTTGATTAAAATAAATTGAAGCTATTTAAATAAAAATTTTTAAATATTTTTAGTTATATAAGGATTATGTATTTTGTATTAGTTTTTATTTTGTTTGCAAATTTAAATTTTTATATTTTTCTCCATTTTTATCATTTCATTCCTTAAGTTTTACCATCATCATCCCAAAATGGTGGTATTATCTTATAAGCATGTCTACTTTTTATTATTGTTGTTTCATTTCTTTAGATTTGCCTTGGTGTTCTAGCCTTGGTGTTCTATGTTTAATGTTAAGATATTATCTTAATTTAGTAAATTTTTATGATTTGAAATTTAATTTATCGATCAATAGCTAACAGTTTAAAAAAAATTTAGGGTTAGCAACACAGTTAGGGTTAGAATAAATTTTTTTTTTTGGTAACATTACGAAATGGGTATGTATTGTTGTTATTTGTATTATTATGTTATTGCTAGTTTTTGTATTTTCTTTTCTTTGTCTGTTAGGAACCCCCTTAGCTTCTTTACTAAGCTATTATATATTTTTTTCATATCACAATCAATAGTGAGTCAGGTCTTATAGGTCTTGAGGGCTAATAAATAATAATATAAGCATTAACTAACAGTAAGTGTATATATATCTTGCAAATGTATTTTATTTAGGCTTGTGGCACATAGAAAATATCAATGTCAACATTCAAAACTAAATAAAGAAATTAAATCAAGGAAAAACACATACTGTGTAGCTGAAATTGATATCAAAATCAAAAAAGTAAATGCAAATACTAAGAAAAATGATCAATATCTAAAAGAAGAACCTCCCCTTAGTGGAGTTATAGTAGTTCATAAAAACCATAACCATAACATTGAATGTGCAGATTCGATGAAATACTTACCAGTGTCATCAGTTACAAAAAAACTTTTTTATAACTATTTTAACAGTGGATTAAGTCCAGCTCAAGCAAAACGTATACACACAGATAACTTTATTTATCATGAAAATGGCTCCTTTCTTTTGGCAGATGCCTCACTTAATCCTTCATCACGTACAATTTATTATTTATACAATTTATGGCAAGAAAAACATTTTGCTCTTAAAAATCCTTTAGAGATGTTAAAGAATAAAAGAAATGTATACTTAGAATCAGGTAAAAATGAGATTAACAACAATAATCAGTTTATTTTAAAATAATTTATTTAAATGATTTATTTTGAAAATAAGATTGATAAATGATAAATAAAAAACCTAGTTTATATTGAGAAGGTTTGCTGCCAAATTCTACTTTGAGTTGACATGTATTTTTATATATTACAAAAAAATATATAACAAAGTCAGATATGTGTAAGCTCGTTATATTTTAACCAATTTAAAGAAAATTTTGTGGGACATTTATTTAAGCTATTTCTCCTATATAATTTTGTGTATAGAGTAGATCCAACAAATAAAAGGTAATATAATGAATAAAACTGAAAAAAAAGCAATAACAAAGTTCTTTAACAGAAAAGTATTAAAAAACAGTTATTTTGTGCTAGAAGCACCTAAATAGATACATTTGCAAAAAGCCATAAAGACTAGATCAGGGAGGGGGCAACCAACCATATCTTTTTTATTATTATTAAATGACAAAATCAAGTTCACCCCTTCAATGTTAGCAGGCAGGTTAGAGGGGCATTGTTTTCCAATAAATTTTACATTTTAAATTTTTCTTACCTATATGAGTTAAATAATACATTTAACTCATATAGGTAAGAAAATAGGGTTACTAAAAAATGCTGCCATTTTAGGTGGGCATTTTGGAAAATGAATAATATGTTTATAGACACATTTGAGTTCTTTTATGTAACAAGCTTTCTGTAATTTTCCCATGTATTGCTGATAGTAATAGCTAATCAGTAAAGTAACCTGTAAGACCTTGTTGGTTAATAGAAAAGTTCTTCAGCTAACTTCACTTATTCGCTATTTTTTATAATTTTTCTTATTTTTTGGTGTCCCACAGGCCACTGGCTAAAATATAATGAACTGGCCCATATCGTTTTATCAATTGGTGGTTTATATCTTGCCAGATTTTTTGGCAGTTTTCAGTGTTTTTTAATTTAGGAGCGTTGGTGACAGTTATTGAAGAAGATCTGAAATGGTCTGTACTAGTGATCACTGAAGTGATGCAAAGGAATCAACTAAGAAAATCTTCTTCCGAAATTGTGTTTGTAGATACTACCTCATCTTGTGATATCTCACAAACAAATGTTACAATTGTGTCTACATCAAGTTCCGCAGGATGTATCCCTATTGCTATTCTATTTCATGCTAATAAAACTGAAGAGAATTATGAGCAAGCATTCAAACTTCTTAAATTAGAATGCCCAAGATGTTTTGGAGGATCTGAGGTAATTTAAAGTTTTATAAGTATATTCTATGTATGCATATGTATAATATAATAATATAATATAATAGCCTAACTTTATCTTTTTTTCTTTTATCTCTATACATGAAATGGTTAACATATATACCTTCTTTTATATATACAATTTGATATCTTTGTATTACAAAGTCAGGAATTACCTTTTTCGGGTTATTTCTAAAATTCCGGATATTTTTCTCAAGTTTTAGTTTTTTTGGATTTCCAAAATGTTTTAATTTAAAGTATAAATTTTTGTAATATATTTGTTTATTAACTTTTGCAGTCATCACTCATACAAAAATCAAGAAAATCCATACAAAAATTAAGAAAAATTTCAGAAAAATGAAGAAACCCACCAGCTAAGATGAGACAACAAAAAATCCTGACAAACTTTGATATGTCTAACAATATTTTATAATTTGATAACCTCACCTGTTATTATGCTTTCTAAATTAATAAGATTGATAACTCCGTTAGACAAGACATTCTTTTGTTAAATTTGTCTGGATTTAAAGTTGTCACACATTAAAAGCTAAGTTAAAAGGAAAATTAGGAAAATATATACCGGATGTTTTATGCACTGTTTTCCGAGTTTTTAAAATATAACATGGATGATCACTTCAAAATCAAATGCAAGCTCTTTCCTAATTAACTAAACAGCAATTCCTAATTAACTAAGCAGCATTTCAATAACTCTTGAAAATATATTTTGGCTAAAGGTTTTCTGAACTTTATCAAAACACTGATCTACATAAGGGCTGAACTTTAAACATATAAAGATCTAGATAAGGTTTTAAACTTAAATGTTTACAAGTGCCACAATACCTAATTTAAATCGGAATTTCTATTAGTTAAATGTTTTACATTGTATTTTAACTATTTTTTTGTAGGAGCCCCAAGTTTTTATGCTGGATGACTCAAGTGAAGAAAAAAATGCACTAAGTTCTGTATGGCCAACAGCAACAATGTTATTATGTTATTTTCATGTATTACAAGCACAATGGCGTTGGTTGCTTAAAAAAGCTGCAAAAACTGATCGTCAAAAACTTTACCATTTGTTTAAAAATGTATTTAAGTTACATATAAAAATAGATTTATAACCACTTAATTATATAGTAATTCTTAATTCGTTTACTATTTTTTGAAATGAAAGTTATTTATATGGAATTTCAAGTGCAATTATCTACAAGTTTGTTTTCTAGATTATGTATGCTGATACAAGCGAAAAACTTGACTTATCGTTACACCAATTAAAAAGCATAAAATTAACGCACCCAAAGTTTTATATTAGGGTTAAAAAATACTATAACAAGAGAAAGTTTGAATTTGTCATGTTATATAGAAAAGACTTAATTATTCGAAACCACAATACAAATAATTTTAGTGAAGCAACAATAAGAATCCTTAAAGATATTGTTTTATGTAGAACAAAAGCATTCAATGTTGCAGCACTTGTAGACTATACTGTCAATGTTTGGGACAGATATTATAGCAACCGTCTTCTGAATACTGCATATAATCGTTGCTCTGCCTATGAAATATTCTACAACAAATTATGTCAAAAATCTGAAAAAATAAACATTAGTTCTATTAAATTGTTGGAGAGGAACACTTACATTGTACCTAGTTTTAAAAATTCAAATGTCGAATATACAGTCAATAGTGACGTTGGCTACTGTTCATGTCCTAGTGGTAGGCAAGGTGGATTCTGTAAACACATGGCTGCAATACATAAATTTTTTAAAATTAATTTTCCGTGCGCTCCACCTATTACATCGAAAGACAGATACGAACTTGGGAAGCTTGCACTTGGATCGAAGTGCCCTGAACCAGAATTTTTTTTAAGTTTGAGAGATATAGATCAAAGCGAAATTGAAATATCTTCTAATATTTTAGGTTTGTAATTGAATTGTAAAGGCAAATAAAGTAGTTGCATCGATATAAGCCCACTTTGTTTCATCTGAAAATATATTTGTTTATTAGAACACACATACACACACACACACACACACACACACACACACACACACACACACACGCACGCACGCACATAAGTATGTATGTATGTATGTATGTATGTATGTATGTAAAATTATTATTATTCGATACGGGTCTTTTTTGGTCCAACTACCTTGATATCTGCAATTAGTTTTAATTTTTTGTAATTTATATTGAATACATACATGATTTTATAATATAATAATTTTATAACATGGTTTACATTTATTAAATTAACAGTAAATTGTTATTTTCGCAGTTGAAACTCAAGAAAACTGTTTGATCTCTGGCGATGCAAATAACGAAGATATTTTGTCATTGACGTGTACTGAAAAAAAAAACCAATCGGAATCTTTAAATACAGATTGTGAAGAATTTATATTTGAATTTAAAAAGTTATTAGATTTAGCTAAAATCGATCCCAATTCTAAAAAAATTATTAATAGTTTAAAGCTTAGACTGAAAAGTGTCAATACCACCGAAAGCGCTTTAGCAACTCTGTTTTCATTAAAAACAGCATTATGCTCAAAAAGAAGATTCGGACAAATTAAAACGCAACCGACTGCTGCTGCGAGACGAAGAGAAGGTCTGACGCGTGGTAGTAGACCAGTGCCGATGGGAAGACCAACTAAAGTTGAAGTTTTGAAACGGAAAAAAGTTAAGCGACAAAGAAATATCAGTCTAGCTGTTGAACAAAATGTTGCTAATGCTCAAAGTCATTAACGTATTTTTTTAGCAGTCTTAAAAGTATTGTTATATAATTTATATTTTATTCGAATATACTTAAGTATTTTTGCGCTAACCTTTTTGGAAAAATTTGACATGGTATTTCATTATTCTTTCACTGTAATTTAAGATAAACTCGTTTAATGATTCAATACGATACTGATTTAATCATACAAATAATAATGAAACTATACAAGACAATTATATTGCACATTAAATAAAATAGTAAGCAACGGAGTCCAATTTTTAATAAATAAATACAAAATCTATTAACAATTTTAAATAAATAAACACAAACTAATGAGCAAAAAGTAAACAAAATCGAACTATTTTTCTTTATTTTTATGTTTAACGCCGAATATTTTTCTTATATTCCAATTTTGCGGATTTGCCTCTCTTTCAAAATAAGCGAATCAGATTGGCCAATTTTAATGGCTATTCTGTGCTTATAGTGGGTTTGTAAAGT